AAGCGTTTTACCTGTTGTGTTTTTATTATTTACCTGGTCGGCTTTAAGTAAAGTGTTACCGGATAGTTTACAGTAGGCTCTACTTAAACGTTCTGCGCTAGATAGTACTACTTGAACATTCTAGTAGGCTCCACTTGGGGCGGCAGGTAGCTTAGTGGTTAAGAGCGTTGTGCCAGTAACCGAAAGGTCGCTGGTTCTAATCCCCGAGCCTACTAGGTGAAAAATCTGTCGATGTGCCCTTGAGCAAGGCACTTATCCCTAATTGCTCCCGTAAGTCGCTTTGGATAAGAGCGTCTGCTAAATGACTAAAAAAAATAAAAGACAAAAAAATTACCTTGAGCATTCTACATGAGGTGTTTCTTGAATATTATACACTAGGCTATACTTATATTATACACAGCAGTCTGTTTCATCTCTTTGCCAACTCCTTATGGAAGGGGACTGTGGACCTACATAAGGAGTTGGCATTACTTGAACACTTCTTTTTGGCTTTTTTATGACTCCATACTCCTCAGACAATACAAATCCAATGACAGCAAAAATGACACACTGCTTCTTCATCCAAACATTTCAGAGTAATTTAACAAATTCAACTTCACTGTTTTGTTAAAATATTTCCACTGTATTTTCATGAATTAAATGCATCAAAACAAAACAAACTAAATAAAAATTATCTTAGGGAAAAAGGGTGAGAATTGCACACAGAACAATCAAAGTAATAAATGAACGAAGGAAGATAGAAGAGGTAAATGATATCAACCTGAATCATTACAACGATAGATGCGTACAGAGAATGTGTGTACAGATGAAGATGACCAACTACACTTTCCATTTTTTGGATGGCAATGAGATTAACAGACTGTTAGGCTTTAATAGTTGAAATATCAGCAAAATTAGATACCTTTACAACGAGCACAGCCACAGTATAACTCTGATCGGGAGACAATCTATATGAAGAAAAAATTATAATACAAACTTTCATTTAAAAAAATATACATAAATTACAGAAAATCATTCAAGTTAAAAACCAATAATCTGGAAATGGATTTAACAAATCAGAATACGAGTCCTAAGAACAAAATGCATGTGGCTTGGTTGGAAGTTGGTATTTACATACAAAGGCAGTCACCTTTATACACAATCCCCCATGTATTTATTTGGACAGTGAAGCTAAAACTTTTAATTTGGCTCTATACTCCAGCATTTTGGATTTGAGATCAAATGTTTTCTATGAGGCGACAGTACAGAATGTCACCTTATATTTGGGGGTATTTTCATATATCTGTTTTACCATTAAGAAATATAAGCACTTTATGCATTTAGTCCCCCCATTTGAAGTTGTCATAACAAGTACAGTATTTTGACAAATTAATTTATAGTGTATTACATTTAGTCAAAAGTTTAGAATTTTGTCCCATATTCCTAGCACACAATGACTACATCAAGTTTGTGACTCTACAAACTCGTTGGATGCATTTACAGTTTGTTTTGTTTGATTTGGATTATGTTGTGCCCAATAGAAATGAATGGTAAATAATGTGTTGTGTCATTTTGGAGTCACTTTTATTGTAAATAAGAATAGAATGTTTCTGAACACGTATACATTAATGTGGATACTACCATGATTACAGATAGTCCTGAATGAATCGTGAATAATGATGAGTGAGAAAGTTAAGAGGCATAAATATTATACCACCTCATAAAATGCTAACCTCCCCTGTTTTTGTCAATGGTTAGAGGTTAGCATGTTTTAGGGGCATGATCTTTGTGAATCTGTAACTTCCTCACTCATCATTATTGACAATTCAGTCATGATTATCCGTAATCATGGTAGCATCCACATTAATGTAGAATATTGTTATTTACAATAAAGGTGATTCTAAATTGACACAATACATTATTTACCATTGATTTCTATTTGACACAACATAATCGGAAACAACCAAAACAAACTGCAAATGCATCCAAGAAGTTTGTAGAGTCACAAGCTTGATGTAGTCATTGTGTGCTAGAAATATGGGACCAAATACTAACCTTTTTAAATAAATGTAATACACTATAAGTGAATTTTTTCAAAATACTTACGACACCTTCAAATGGGCGGACTAGATACATAAAGTGCATTAATTTCTAAACAGTAAAACAGATATGTATGAAAATACCCTCAAATAAAATGGGACATTCTTTAGTGTCACCTCATATACACTACCGTTCAAAAGTTTGGGGTCACTTAGAAATGTCCCTGTTTTCGAAAGAAAAGCATTTTTTTGTCCATTAAAATAACATAAAATTGAGCAGAAATACAGTGTAGACATTGTTAATGTTGTAAATGGCTATTGTAGCTGGAAACGGCTGATTTTTGATGGAATATCTACATAGGCGTACAGAGGCCCATTATCAGCAACCATCAGTCCTGTGTTCCAATGGCACGTTGTGTTTGCTAATCCAAGTTTATAATTTTAAAAGGCTAATTGATCATTAGAAAACCCTTTTGCAATTATGTTATCACAGCTGAAAACTGTTTTGCTGATTAAAGAAGCAATAAAACTGGCCTTCTTGAGACTAGTTGACTATCTGGAGCATCAGCAATTGTGGGTTCGATTACAGGCTCAAAATGGCCAGAAACAAATAACTTTCTTCTGAAACTCTTTCTTCTGAAACTCGTCAGTCTATTCTTGTTCTGAGAAATTATGGCTATTCCATGCGAGAAATTGCAAAGAAACTGAAGATCTCATACAACGCTGTGTACTACTCCCTTCACAGAACAGCGCAAACTGTCTCTAACCAGAATAGAAAGAGGAGTGGGAGGCCCCAGTGCACAACTGAGCAGGAGGACAAATACATTAGAGCAGGGTTCTTCAATTCCGGTCCTGGAGGGCCGAAACACCTCTGTTTTTCATCCTCTCCTTCTAATCAGGGGCTAATTCAGAATTGAAGAACCCTGCATTAGAGTGTCTAGTTTGAGAAACAGACACCTCACAGGTCCTCAACTGGCAGCTTCATTAAATAGTACCCGCAAAACACCAGTCTCAACAGTGAAGAGGCGACTCCGGGATGCTGACCTTCTAGGCAGAGTTGCAAAGAAAAAGCCATATCTCAGACTGCCCATCTTAATCTTTTCTTTTTATTGGCCAGTCTGAGATATGGCTTTTTCTTTGCAACTCTGCCTAGAAGGTCAGCATCCCGGAGTCGCCTCTTCACTGTTGACATTGAGACTGGTGTTTTGCGGGTACTATTTAATGAAGCTGCCAGTTGAGGACCTGTGAGGCGCCTGTTTCTCAAACTAGACACTCAACCTAATGTATTTGTCGTCTTGCTCAGTTGTGCACCGGGGCCTCCCACTCCTCTTTCTATTCTGGTTAGAGACAGTTTGCGCTGTTCTGTGAAGGGAGTAGTACACAGCGTTGTACGAGATCTTCAGTTTCTTGGCAAGTTCTCGCATGGAATAGCCATAATTTCTCCGAACAAGAATAGACTGACGAGTTTCAGAAGAAAGTTATTTGTTTCTGGCCATTTTGAGCCTGTAATCGAACCCATAATTGCTGATGCTCCAGATACTCAACTAGTCTCAAGAAGGCCAGTTATATTGCTTCTTTAAATCAGCAAAACAGTTTTCAGCTGTGATAACATAATTGCAAAAGGGTTTTCTATTGAGCAGTTAGCCTTTTAAAATTATAAACTTGGATTAGCAAACACAACGTGCCATTGGAACACAGGACTGATGGTTGCTGATAATGGGCCTCTGTATGCCTATGTAGATATTCCATAAAAAATCAGCCGTTTCCAGCTACAATAGCCATTTACAACATTAACAATGTCTACACTCTATTTCTGATTAATTTTATGTTATTTTAATGGACAAAAAAATGCTTTTCTTTAGAAAACAGGGACATTTCTATGTGACCCCAAACTTTTGAACGGTAGCGTAAAACATTTGATCTCAAATCCAAAATGCTGGAGTATAAAGCCAAATTACACATTTTAGCTTCACTTTCCAAATAAATATGTAGGGGAGTGTACATTACATATTTAATGATACTGCAGCAGAAAACCGGGAGGGGGGATTTTAAACAGGCAGAATCTGAATCGGTCATTCAGTTTGATATTATTGACCTATGTGACAATACTAGCCTGGTTCCCAGATCTGTTTGTGCTGTCTCCAACTCAAGCCAATAGCCATAGGAATTGGCAAGACAGCACACACATATCTGGGACCAGGCTATGACAATACTAATGAAACAACAAGAATAATGTGGCAATGGATGAATGTAGACTTTTCTCTATACCCTGCTCTCTTTGACAACATTGAACTCAACAGTTATCCATTTGTAGCCATGATGATTGAAAAGCATGATCTCCGTGATGACATCAGAGCACCTGAACATTCCTTCCTGAACGCTGGGCTCCCACATCAACAGAGGCTGCGTCCCAATTATCTACCCTTCTCCCGAAGTGGGCACTTGCACAGTCCCTTTCATGGATTGAACAATCTCCTGGAGCACCTTCCCCATCATGGATTTAACAAATGGTTGAAACTCCTTTCAGCCATTGCTTACACCAATCCAAGCATTTTAAATCCATGACGTGGAGGGTGCTAGTGCACACCGGCAGAAGGGTAGAGAACCAGGACGCAGCCTTCCAAGCCCCCCCCCCCCCCCCCCCGAAACACTTTACAGAAGGGAGGGGAAGGAAGCATAGTAACCATGGAGCCCACAGGAGAACAGAGGTTGGATATGTGCTGGTTAAAGAGTCTGTTTTTCTTTTATTTTCTTTTTTCTTCTACAGAGTCACACACGGCGCTATCATATCATTGGCTGATCATGTCAGTCACTAAAATCATCAGGAGGTGTGAATGTCCCATCTGTCATGTTGATTTACTTCTTTGTTTGTTTGTTTACAGCAGTGCCAGGAGTGCTCCAAAAGGATGGTTTGAAGAAGCAGACAGTCCAGCGAATGAAAAGTACCAAGTCCAAAGTGAGCTTTGTTTTGCAAAGTCTCTCTCAATGCGCTTTGTGTTTCCTCTTCTTGTGTTTTTTGTCCTTCTTCTTGCCGGCACACTTCACACAGAACCACTGCTGGTCCTCGGGAGGGGCTGAGACCATCCCGACACAAGGCCTGGGGGGAGAAAGACGGAATCAGTGAGTGATAAAAAGAAGGGATCAAAAAGGGATAGTTAGAGAGGATCAGCTTTCCCCAGCGTAGTGAGGAACATTGGCTAGTTACTGCTGTAGAACCATAGTGAGGAACATTGACTAGTTATTGCTGTAGAACCATAGTGAGGAACATTGACTAGTTATTGCTGTAGAACCATAGTGAGGAACATTGACTAGTTATTGCTGTAGAACCATAGTGAGGAACATTGACTAGTTATTGCTGTAGAACCATAGTGAGGAACATTGACTAGTTATTGCTGTAGAAACCATAGTGAGGAACATTGACTAGTTATTGCTGTAGAACCATAGTGAGGAACATTGACTAGTTATTGCTGTAGAACCATAGTGAGGAACATTGACTAGTTATTAACATAGTGAGGAACATTGACTAGTTATTACTGGGAAATGAGGAACATTGACTAGTTATTGCTGTAGAACCATAGTGAGGAACATTGACTAGTTACTGTAGAACCATAGTGAGGAACATTGACTAGTTATTACTGTAGAACCATAGTGAGGAACATTGACTAGTTATTACTGTAGAACCATAGTGAGGAACATTGACTAGTTATTACTGTAGAACCATAGTGAGGAACATTGACTAGTTATTACTGTAGAACCATAGTGAGGAACATTGACTACTAGTCAATAACTAGTCAATGTTCCTCACTATGGTTCTACAGCAATAACTAGTCATATCAGCTGGACTGAACCAGAGTAAATGAATGAATGAATAAACAAATGAATGAATTAATGGATGGATGGATTAATTAATCCAAACCTCTCTCTTACCAGTGGTACCAGTCATCGCAGTCATCACAGCCGATCATGGGACTACCGTCGTCACGTTTGTTACAGCCAGGACAGATCCAGATCTGGTTTCCCCACTCATCACGGATCTACAGGGGAAACAACATCTTAGCAACAACACACTCAGGAGTAGAATATCTGGCTTCCCCACTCATCACGGATCTACAGGGGAAACAACGTGTTAGCAACAAGACAGAATATGCATCGCATAAATTAAAAATGTTTATTATGTATGCCTATGTATACCGAGTGGACAAAATATTAAGAACATCTGCTCTTTCCATGACACTGACCAGGTGAAAGTTATGATCCCTTATCGATGTCACTTGTTAAATCCACTTCAATCAGTGTAGATGAAGGGGAGGAGACAGGTTAAAGAAGGATTTTTAAGCCTTGAGACAATTGAGACATGGATTGTGTATGTGTGCCATTCAGAGGGTGAATGGGCAAGACAAAAGATTTAAGTGCATTTGAACGGGGTATGGTAGTAGGTGCCAGGCGCACCGGTTTGTGTCGAGAACTGCAACACTGCTCAACAGTTTCCTATGTGTATCAAGAATGGTCCACCACCCAAAGGACATCCAGCCAACTTCACACAACTGTGGGAAGCATTGGAGTCAACTTGGGCCAGCATCCCTGTAGAATGCTTTCGACACCTTGTAGAGTCCATGCCTCGATGAATTGAGGCTGTTCTGAGGGCAAAAGGGGGTGCAACTCAATATTAGTGAGGTGTTCTTAATGTTTGGTATACTCAGTGTATATCCATTACCTGTTACTATCCAGAGCAATGGAGAACACTCTCAAGACTATGTATGCTGCAGTTGTGCTCTTCAATAAAACATATTTCAAACAGATAGGAGTAGATAGACATGAGATATGCATGAGTGATAAAGGGGGTCTGGGACCCTCAGGAATAGACAGAATAGTCAAGAGAGATAGATGAGTAATTAAGTGGGGTGGGACTCACCACGTATGTACTGACAGTTTCAGTGACCACGCTGCGTACAAATGTTTTGCCGGAGGACAGCATTGATGCAGGTGACAGCATGGCAGGGGGAGGGTTGTCAGGGGGAAGATGGGATGCAGGAGGTGCCAACGAGGGTATTGGGGGGAGGATTGGAGGAGGTGGCGGCAGCTGAAGGCGACTGCCGGGACCAGATTTGGTGGTGGGGGTCTTGGGTGCTGGAATCTTGGGCGGTGGCTCGGAATTCGGAACCACCTTGCTGATAACTCTGGAGATGGAAAGAGAGAGAGAGAGAGCGAGAGAGAGAGAGAGAAGAGAGAGAGAGATCAGAGCCAATGAGAAATGACTTCATGCGAGTAAAAAATACAGAGGCCCTGAACCACATAGGACCAGACACAGCACTTGTTTTGTACATCTATGTATATAGGTGTTCCTGTGTCAGTGTGTGCTGTACATGTTTGATGCAGCTGTATGCTGCAGCCAAATTAAGTTAAAGGTACAATATGTAGAAATTGCTCAGCCATTTCCTGGTTGCTAAAATTCTAATAGTTCACATAATTTCAAGCAATGTATAGTGTAGAGAATCATTGTACTATCTAAACCGCTGTGAAATATATTTTCAGTAACCAAAAATATTGTATTTTCAGCTGTTTGAAGCTTGTGTACAAAATCGAAAGTAAAAGACGCAAAAACGAAACTTAAGAACAGGAAGTATAGAAATAGCGCACATAGAACATATCTACCGCTTCATAGACTCGCTCAATGCAAATGACAGATGTACAACTCACATTTCAATGGGAATTTGGTCGGGTCGCCCAAAAAGGGACATTTACAGTATTCAGACCCCTTGACCTTTCCCACATTTTGTTTTGTTACTGCCTTATTCTAAAATGGATGAAATCATTTTTTCCCCTCATCAATCTACACACAATACCCCATAATGACAAAGCAAAAACAGGATTAAAAAAAATATATTATATATTATACGGAAAGATCACATTTACATAAGTATTCAGACCATTTACTCAGTACTTTGTTGAAGCACCTTTGGTAGCGATTACTGCCTTTGAGTCTTCTTGGATATGACGCTACAAGCTTGGCACACCTGTATTTGGGGAGTTTCTCCCATTCTTCTCTGCAGATCCTCTAAAGCACTGTCAGGTTGGATGGGGATCGTAGCTGCACAGCTATTTTCAGGTCTCTGGAGCAGGTTTTCATCAAGGATCTCAATGTACTTTGCTCCGTTCATCTTGAGTAAAGCCAGTGTGTCTATGTATGCGGATAACTCAACACTATACACGTCAGCTACTATAGCAACTGAAATAACTGCAAAACGTAAAGAGTTGCAGTTAGTTTCGGAATGGGTGGCAAGGAATAAGTTAGTCCTGAATATTTCCAAAACTAAAAGCATTGTATTTGGGAAAAATCATTCACTAAACCCTAAACCTCAACTACATCTCGTAATGAATAATGTGGAAATTGAGCAAGTTGAGGTGACTGAACTGCTTGGAGTAACCCTGGATTGTAGACTGTCATGGTCAAAACATATTGATACAACAGTAGCTAAGATGGGGAGAAGTATGTCTATAATTAAGCGCTGCTCTGCCTTCTTAACAACACTATCAACAGGTCCTACAGGCCCTAGTTTTGTAGCACCTAGACTACTGTTCAGTAGTGTGGTCAGGTGCCACAAAGAGGGACTTGGGAAAATTGCAGTTGGCTCAGAACAGGGCAGCACGGCTGCCCCTTAAAAGTACACGGAGAGCCAACATTAATGACATGCATGTCAGTCTCTCCTGGCTCAGAGTGGAAGAGAGATTAACTTCATCACTGCTTGTTTTTGTAAGAGGTGTTGACAAGCTGAATGTACTAAGTTGTCTGTTTGGAATACTGTTTTATATGTAATGTAAGTGCTTTAATATGTTTGGACCCCAGGAAGAGTAGCTGCTGCCTTGGCAGCAGCTAATGGGGATCCCTAATAAATACAAACAGCAAAGGGCCTGTATACTTACATAAATAAGGTATTTATGTTTTTATACATATGCTACAATTTTAAAAACTTTTCGCTTTGTCATTATGGGGTATTGTGTGTAGATTGATGATGATATATAGATATTTTTTAATCCATTTTAGGAAAAGGCTGTAACGTAACAAAATGTGGAAAAGGTCAAGAGGTCTTAATACTTTCCAAATGCACGGTAAATGGACTAATAAAGTTGTATTGATTTGAATTGAGAAACTTACATTTTGTCCTGTCCAGCCCCCACCCTCAGGGTCAGCCTGGGGATGACAGGAGACGGGACAGTCACTGGAGTCTCCACCCTCACCTAGAAGAAGAAGAAGAAGAAGAAGAAGAAGAAGAAGAAGAAGAAGAAGAAGAAGAAGAAGAAGAAGAAGAAGAAGAAGAAGAAGAAGAAGAAGAAGAAGAAGAAGAAGAAGAAGAAGAAGAAGAAGAAGAAGAAGAAGAAGAAGAAGAAGAAGAAGAAGAAGAAACGTGTTATTGTGTGTGTGTGTAAGATGCTTCACTAATGTTTTATAAAACGCTACACTACAAACCAATACTGGGAAAAGACAAGTTACCTTTTCTAGCCTGATCCTCTCTTTTTCCTTCTCTCGCTTCTTCTCCTCTTTATCTCTCTCCTTCTCCCTCTCCTTGTCTTTATCTTTCTTCTTCTTCTTCTTCTTGTCTTTCTTCTTGTCCTTCTCCTTGCTCTTCACATCCTTGTCCTGGAGGATGGGGGGAAGAGGGGGCAACATGGAGGGGATGCGGAGACACGTGGACGGGCTGAACCGGACAGGAATGTCACCCAAACTGAATGGGGTGAGGGAGGATATCTTCTGCCTGTCCTTACCTTTGTCCCGCTTGTCTTTGTCCTTCTTGCTCTTCTCCTTGTCCTTCTTCTTGTCTTTCTGTTTGTCCTTCTCCTTCTTGCCGCTGCCATCCCCTCCATCTCGGGACTTGATCTTGATCATGGATCCTTCCGGACTGCCGAACCCTGACCTCTGACCCTGGAAGTGTTCCCCGAGGTCGTCCTTGTTTCCAATGTCCTTCCATGGCATCTTGGCCTCTTTGGAGAAAGAATCTTTGCTCTTCCCCCTGTTCTTATCCTTGTTCTTCTCTTTCATCTTCCCCCTGTTCTTATCCCTCTCTTTATCTTTTGGTTTCTCTCCTTTATCCTTCATCTTTGTCTTGAGCTCCTTCTTCAGTTTCTTCTTGATGTCAGCCGAGGAGACGAGCTTGTTCTTCTCCTGGTACATCTTGAGGAGGGGTTCCGGGGTCGGGGGCGAGGCGGACGCTGAGGTGAGGTACGATTCGTCCTGGGGTTGTCCTGCCGAGGGACCCCCCTGGTTCACCTTGCGTATGACCTCGTTGATGGAGTCGTCCATGGTCCAGTTCCCGGGGCCGCCACCTGTGCTGAGTTGTAGTGGCGTGGACGTGTCTTTACCAAGGCTGTTGGCATCCAGTGAGAGCTTAGGCGTTCCTCCTGGCTCCATGATAGTGAGCCTCCGGGGAGAGGAGAAGCCATCGCTCTCCGACTCGCAGCCCGACGAGAAGGCGAAGGGGTCGGGCTCCCGCTCGGCGCACGCCCTGGCGATCACAGCGTCGATGGAGTCGTTGATATCGGCGTTGTCGGTGCCAGGTTCGACGAGTTTACCTGAGATGAAACCCGCCAGCTCGTGGTCCTCCAGGCTTTGCACGTGGATGTTCTCCTTCCCCATCCTCTCACTGAGGGCTGACAGTGGCAGCCTCTGTAGGCCAAGGGCCTGAGCCTCCGACTTGCCCTGGGGGTGAGACCCAGACTTGGCTCCAGAGCCCATCTTGGGGCTCTTGGGACTTTTAGGGCTCTTGGTCTGGCCAGGGGACTTTTTCCTTTCCTTGGAAGATTTGGGCGAGCAGATGGGGCTGCCTGACATAGCCCCACCAGCATTGACCCCCTTGGGGGACTTAGTCCGTGGCCTGCCAGGGGATGAGCCTTTTGGCCCTTTGCGGCCTTGACCGCCATGAGACTTATGATCCGAGTGTCTCCCGGGGGTCACCGGCTGGGGTCTGAATGACGTTGGAGGCCCAGGTGTCTCAGGGGACAGAGACATTGAACCCAGGCTGTCATGAGAGTGAGAGGCCATCATGCCTGGAGGAACACGTTGGGGGTTGAGGGAGGTGAGGGGCTCCCTGGGCTCCATGCTCCAGTCGGGGCTGAAGCCAGGGTGCATGCGAGGCCTCTTGGAGGTGGGCATCATACCCATGGCAGCGTCGGGGCTGTCCAGGTGTCTCTTCACAGGGTGGTTCTCATCATTCACTGCCTCGTCATCATCCATATCCTCATCGGTATCGTCCAGCGGGACCTGCATGGCCTCGGCAGAGGTGCCCATGTCAGCCAGGGCTTCCTCCTCCTCCTCTTCTACAGGTGAAAGAGAACACTGAGTTAATCAATCACTCAGTCTTCCAGGGTCTGATTGGCATTGAATTAAAGGAGGAAGATAAAAACCATCTGTCTATCAAAACCCCATTAACACACAAATACAAACAGAAGCATACACACACTCCCTATCTCATGACATTCTCTATACACTGCACAACTGTTCTTCATAGAGGTAAGTTGTGCCACACAAACACACACACATAATGCTACAGCCCTTACCTTCCTGTAGTGAGACCAAGGGTGGCATATAATCTGGAACATAGTCCTTCCTCTCCTCTGCGTCCCCCCGGACCCCCACTCCAGGCTGAGGGAACTGCAGCACGTTGTTCTTGCTTAGGGGGAATAGGGGCGTCTGCTGGGCGAAGCCTACAGGCTCCAGGTTGTGGACATAGTCCTCCAGCTCAGACAGACTCACCCCCAGCAGCCTGAATGCCTGGCCTACGTCGTCCAGCACTGGGTCTGTTCGCCCATCTAGGAAATAAACAGGAGTATGCATGAGACATCGCACCGAAAGGTCTTCTTTAACATGTATCTTACTAAGGGTCAAACCCAAGGAGTGAGACTGAATGGACAACAAGGATAATTTCATGCAAGGACTTACATACAGTATATCCTTTGTCATATGGATCATCCTCTTTCTTAATCATGGTTTGATTGAGCCAAAATGAAGATTAGCTAAACCATTAGCTATTATGTCTTCAGCAAATAGTTGATTTTCTGTAATTTTATCCCCAAGGGAAAGACGTGACAATTATTGACAAACCTACTACATTTCTAGGATAGTATTTTCTTAAAAGTCAATTCTAAATTAGATACCACACTGGGTTCCTTCTCTCCCATGTTGAACACTCCCCTATGTTGACATCTGAGCTAACCATTTCAGACACAGCATGACCGGTTTCAACTGAGAAACACAAATACACATGGCCAAAACATACAAAATGTACACAATTGAGCTAACTACACAGATACATACATGCAATACTTAGAAAATGTACACTCGCAAACATAACTAAGTCTGGTCATTGATTACATCATGTGGCTAACTAACATAGTTGGTTAGCAGCTAGGCTATCTTTACTGTACATGTCTCTGACAAGCTATTAGCACTAACGTTAGGCCTCGATTGGAGGGGGCGCTAGTCACCGAGCCGGGAATAAACAACGTGATCCAATACCTAGCCAGATCACTCACGTCAAGTAGACATGTCGGAAATACAGTACTTACAGAGCTCCGAATATCGATGACAACCCCTGGCCAACTGCTGGATATATCTGTGCAGAACATCGGAAAGCAGGTCGCAGGCGGTGAGCTGCACCGCATCCCAGCCCAGCGCTTGGCAGATCTGCGCCACCGACACACGCAGCAGCGAGCGGGCATAGCTCTCACACATCTCACTGACTTTAGTAACGGTCCTTGCTTCGTCAATCCCTACTATAAAACATCATCCTGTTCTTCATGATGCATGAAATACATGCAGGTCGCGAACAAAACGCTCGATGAGGGTTAATTTTGACATCTATTCGTGTAAATATGTTGGCGCTCTCGCCAGAGCCGCCATCTTGTTTCCACCGACAAAACCATCCTAGAAAACGTTGATTAGACATGCGCAAAAACATGGGACAACCCACTAAACAAGGGTACGTTCGCAGGGATCATTACCTGCCCTGCGCAGCCGGAAAACTTCTCAACTATCAAACAGCCATTCCATTTTCACTGACAGAAAGAACCGTAGGAATAAAGTAAAGGACACTCAGCTATGGACGAAGAATATGATGTTATCGTTCTCGGGACCGGCTTAACGGTGAGAAAATGGACAAAGCAATAGTACGAACTTCCAATAGTCGAAGCATGCTCATGCATGACATTTCACAGCTAGGCGTGTAGGCTAATCTGTAGGCTGTCATGGCTAACTAGTGCTAAATTAGCTTGCTTGCTCTTTTGTTAGAAATCCATTTTAAGTTATTTTCAGAAATGTGTATACTTTGTTTCTCATTAGTGTTATATGTGTGTGGTGATACTTTCCACAGTCTGCAACAAGTGACAGCTCACATACAATATCTAGTATTTCCTGTTATTTTCCCTAGAGTAAAATGTAGTTAACGTTAGCTAGTTGGCTACGCTATGCAGCTAGCTAGCCAGTTTAGCTAGTTGGCTACGCTATGCAGCTAGCTAGCCAGTTTAGCTAGTTGTGTTGTTCGCTGTTATACTGTTTACATTGTTCTTTAAACATCTGTCTAAAACATACAATACCGCCTTTATACATCTCTTTTTGTGTAACTAACTTACCTATCTGACTTCTATTTATTTCTAAAGGAATGCATTCTGTCTGGCATTATGTCAGTGAAGGGGAAGAAGGTGCTTCATATGGACAGGAACTCATACTATGGAGCAGAGAGCGCTTCCATCACACCACTGGAAGACGTAAGCAAAGGCACACAAGATTACCTTTTTCATACTATCACGCCTGTTCTGTTTTCTTTTTACATCTTCCCTTCAGGCAACTAGGGTCAATCCTTAAGTAGGCCAGCCCAGTAATTGGCTCAACTCAGATCAGTAGTGTGGAAAAGGTATTAACCTGGGGTGTGTTCATTATTCGAATTCCGTTGCAAAACGTTTACTCTAGGAAGCAACCGGAACGAAACGGGGAGGGAACGTACCTTGAACTTGTCCAATAGAAACTCGTTTCCGTTGCAAAACGTTTTCCGTTTGTAGTAAACAAAATGTTTTGTAATGGAATCCAACTAATGAATACACCCCAATGGTTGAAAAACAGCCCCCATCATGTGGTGCTATCACACCAATATAGAGTAACATGTTATATTATCCATGTTGTCACACAGATATAGAGTAAGTAACATGTTATATTATCTATGCTATCACATCTCATTGTTATAGTTGAGGCACAGCTGAGTTTGAGCTACTCAAAAACTGACAGCTCTATGTTTAACTGTCAAAGAAACTAAGTAATGAATTACATTGAATGAAGTAATAAAAAAAAATTTTTTCTTCTTGTCCCCCTCCAGTTGTACAAGCACTTCAGCCTTCCAGGTAAACCTCCGGAGTCCATGGGAAGAGGCCGGGACTGGAGCGTGGACCTCATCCCAAAGTTCCTGATGGCCAATGGTAGGAAAGCAATATGGCATTCTAGATATAATACTGAGTGCAGGGTTGTGTTCATTAGCCACGGGGGTGTCATTGCATGCCCTAATGACCATGACCCATGTCTCTGCTCTACCCAGGCCAGCTGGTGAGGATGTTGCTGATCACTCAGGTCACCCGTTACCTGGATTTCAAGGTGATCGAGGGCAGCTTCGTCTACAAGAAGGGAGCCATCTACAAAGTGCCTGTCACTGAGACAGAAGCACTGGCCTCCAGTGAGTATACATGAAGTGGACAAAACATTATGAACACCGGCTTTCCATGCCATAGACTGACCAGGTGAACGCTAAGATCCCTTCTTGATGTCACTTGTTAAATCCACTTCAATCAGTGTAGATGAAGGGGAGATGACAAGGTTAAAGAAGGATTTTTAAGCCTTGAGACAATTGGGACATGGATTGTGTGTGTGTGTGCCATTCAGAGGATGAATGGGCAAGACAAACAATTTAAGTGCCTTTGAACGGGGTATGGTAGTAGGTGCCATGCGCACCGGTTTGTGTCAAGAACTGTAACGCTGCTGGGTTTTTCACGCTCAACAGTTTGCTGTGTGTATTAAGAATGGTCCACCACCCAAAGGACATCCAGCCAACTTGACACAACTGTGGGAAGCATTGGAGTCAACATGGAACAGCATCCCTGTGGAATGCTTTCGACACCTTGTAGAGTCCATGCCCCAACAAATTGAGGCTGTTCTGAGCGCAATAGCAGGGGGTGCAACTCAATATTACGAAGGTGTTCTTAATGTTTTGTACACTCAGTGTATAGCAATGGGTTTCTCAGATGCTTATTCCTATAATATATGCTATGCCATTAAGCAGACCCTTTATTCAAAGAAACTTACAGTACAGTGAGTGCATACATTTTTTTGGTATGTGTATGCTATCTTCTCAGTTGCTTAATGTGGATGACCTATGCTCCCCAAGGAGAAAAGGTTTTAAGTCTAGTTAAATATAATAATAATAATAATAATAATAATATGCCATTTAACAAACGCTTTTATCCAAAGCGACTTACAGTCATGCGTGCATACATTTTTTTTTTTTGTGTATGGGTGGTCCCGGGGATCGAACCCACTACCTTAGCGTTACAAGCGCCGTGCTCTACCAGCTGAGCTACAGACAGTGAAGTCCATCACATCCTGGCCCAGGCTGAACTTCTTGTATAGGTCACGCATCGTCGACTTGTTGGGATCGACACCCTCCATGGTTTTGGGATCGTTCAAGTCGTAGTTGGCAACGAAGATCAAGAAGTTCCTAAAACTATTAACTTATGCTATGTACCACTTAACCAAAGCTTTAATCCCAAGCGATTTACAGTATTAGTGAGTGCATCCATTTTTTTTGTATGTGTATGCGATCCCCCACAGGAATTCAAGCCACAATTGAACCCACAACCTTTCAACTGAACCAAACAGGACCACATTCTTAGTCTCATTTCAGACAACAGCAGCCTTTTCTATTTCTGTCTCACTGACTTTTCTGCCCCCTCAGGTTTGATGGGGATTTTCGAGAAGAGGCGTTTTAGGAACTTCTTGATCTTCGTTGCCAACTACGACTTGAACGATCCCAAAACCATGGAGGGTGTCGACCCCAACAAGTCGACGATGCGTGACCTATACAAGAAGTTCAGCCTGGGCCAGGATGTGATGGACTTCACTGGTCACGCCCTCGCTCTCTACAGGACAGACGAGTAAGTGGCTTTGTCTGAAATTACCCTATTCACTATATATAGTGCACTTCTTTTGACCAGGGCCCATAGGATGGCAGATAGCCTAGCGGTTAGAGCGTTGGGCCAGTAACCGAAATGTCGCTAGTTCGAATCCCCAAACAGACAAGGTGAAAAAATCTGTCGATGTGCCCTTGAGCTGTTGATAATGGCTGACCCTGGCTGTGAACCTATTTCCCCAAAAAACATTTCCAATTCAAAAGTGTATAATACACACTTGTACATGTGTGAAATAGGACATAATGATATAGGGAATTGGGTGCCATTTCTGACACAGCCAGAGACTGCAGTCGTCACCACCACTACTTGAGTTGAGATGTCACGTAGGCTTTTTCACTCACTCTGCCACTCGTGTATCAGCATTACTATATATATGGATGTTTCTTGTGGTTTTATTTATTGTTTTCTTTATTATTATTTATTGTGAGCGCTCGGACGAGTACGATGTTTTAATGTTTTCTACACTATTGGAAACTTGAATGATGGGAATTAATAGGATGGGTGACTGTCCACTGTGTTCAGGCAGGTACAAATACTTCAAGAAGTGTCAAATCTAAAATATGTAACATCTATAAACATTTATAAGCATTTTTTATGGCTTATTCATAAACATTTTAACAAAGTAACCGTGTTACAATCTAGTATTTGTTTGATCCCTCAGCTACCTGGATCAGCCCTGCATCGACACTATCAATAGGATCAAGTTGTACAGTGAGTCTCTGGCCAGATACGGCAAGAGTCCTTATCCTCTACCCTCTCTACGGCCTGGGGGAGCTGCCACAAGGCTTTGCCAGGTACGATGACTTTGTCCCCGCCCTGCTATTATGTAATTGTTCCTGATTAATCAGGAATTCCTGCTTTTCTGACTCTGTCCTCTTCAATACATACTAGAACTGAAGTTTACCTACTCCCAAACCAATATCCTACTGATTTCAGTTGTCCTGATCATAGAAATAAAAATCTCATTCTAGTTCTGTGATGCTGATTTGACTGTTTTTAGCCTTATGCTTAATTAACCCATCCCATGCTCCACTATTCACCAGTGTCTTTGACTTGACCTCTCTCCCTCTAGGTTGAGCGCTATCTATGGTGGGATCTACATGCTGAACAAGCCCATAGAGGAGATCGTTATGGAGAATGGAAAGGTGGTGGGGGTCAAGTCAGAGGGAGAGGTGAGATTCTATCACATTTTTGCCTCCTGTTATAATTAAGCAATAAGTCCCGAGGTGGTGTGGTATATGGCCAATATACCACGGCTAAGGGCTGTTCTTATGCACGACGCAACGCAAAGTGCCTCGATACAGCCATTAGCCATGGTATATTGGCCATATATCACAAATCCCCGAGGTGCCTTATTGCTATTATAAACTGGTTACCAATGTAATTAGAGCAGTACAAAAAAAAATGGTCATACCCGTTGTATATGGTCTGATATACCTTTGGTCATGTAGTATATGTGGACACCTGCTCGACCAACATCTCATTCCAAAATCATGGGCATTAATATGGAGTTGGTCCCCCCTTTGCTGCTATAACAGCCTCCACTCTTCTGGGAAGGCTTTCCACTAGATGTTATTGCTGTGGGGACACATTAGTGAGGTCGGGCACTGATGTTGGGCGATTAGGCCTGGCTCACAGTCGGCGTTCCAATTCATCCCAAAGGTGTTCGATGGGGTTGAGGTCAGGGCTCTGTACAGGCCAGTTCTTCCACACCGATCACGACAAACTATTTGTGTATGGACCTCGCTTTGTGCACGGGGGCATTGTCATGCTGAAATACGAAAGGGCCTTCTCCAAACTGTTGCCACAAAGTTGGAAGCACAGAATCGTCTAGAATGTCATTGTATGCTGTAGCGTTAAGACTTCCTTTCACTGGAACTAAGGGGCCGAGCCCGAACCACGAAAAACAGCCCAGACCATTATTCCTCCTCCACCAAACTTTACAGTTGGCACTATGCATTCAGGCAGGTAGCATTCTCCTGGCCGAATCCACTAATTTGAAGGGTTGTCTACATACTTTTGTGTGTATATATAGTGTACCACGGCTATCAGCCAATCAGCATTCAGGGCTCGAACCACCCAGTTTATAATGATTGTTTTCTATCAGTTCTTCATGGTGAATGTCTAATGGCAGTGTATACAACTGACAAAATTTGAATGGTTCCAGATGGCGGTTGGCTAACCATGCCTTACCCTAAACATAAACTTAACCCTTACCCTAACCTAACCCACCCTCACCTTAATTATAACCCTAAACTCTACTATCTCGACCTTTCCTCTCCAGATAGCCCGCTGTAAGCAGCTGATCTGTGACCCCAGCTACGTCATGGACAGAGTCTGCAAGGTGGGCCAGGTGGTCCGTATCATCTGCGTCATGAGCCACCCCATCAAGAACACCGGCGACGTCAACTCCTGCCAGATCATCATCCCTCAGATCCAGGTCAACAGGAAACATGGTGAGACCCCTCGATACTAGGGTATCTAGCCTACATAAGGACTTCGTAACACATTCATAACCCATACATACAACATGCATAAGCGTTTCATAAATTCTTGTGTGTGAAATGAAGTTGCCACTGTTGTGACTTTTTGAATGGCTGTGTTCATTAGGCACCAAACGGAAGAAAACAAACTGGGAGCGACTACCTGGAAGAAACGCAAATGTTCTGCTTTTTTCAGTTTTCAAAAACGCTTTGTTACTTTTTACGCCCTACTGAACACAAGGCAGTGGAGCTTAGTGAGGGTGTATGATATGACACGGGTCTCTTCTGTTTTTATGGCAGACATCTACGTGTGTATGATCTCCTCGGCCCACAACGTGGCAGCGCAGGGCAAGTACATTGCCATCGCCAGCAGCGTAGTGGAGACCAACGACCCAGAGAATGAACTCAAGCCGGCCCTGGATCTCCTGGAGCCCATTGAACAGAAGTAAGCCTTTGATTCTATGTTGCTGTGCTGTACTGTACTGTACCATAAGATACATGTTATACCACTGTACTGTTACAATGTTATACTGTTACACTAGGGTCTAGTAAAGGGTCTTCACTGATATTTTCAACCTCTCCCTGACCCGGTCTGTAATACGAAATTGTTTTCGAGTAGACCACCATAGTCCCCGTGCCCAAGAACGCCAAGGTAACCTGCCTAAATGACTATCGCCCTATAGCACTCACATCTGTTGCCATGAAATGCTTTTGAAGGGCTGGTCATGGCTCACATCAACACCATCATCCCAGACACCCTGGACCCACGCCAATTCGCATATCGCCCCCAACAGATCCACAGATGACGCAATCTCCATTACGCTCCACACTGCCCTCACCCACCTGGACAAAATGAATGTCTATGTAGGAACGCTGTTCATTGACTACAGCTTAGCATTTAACACCATAGTCCCCTCCAAGCTCATCACCAAGCTCAGGACCCTGGGACTGAACACCTCCCTCTGCAACTGGATCCTGGACTTCCTGTCGGGCCGCCCCCAGCCGGTGAGGGTGGGCAACAACACATCTGCCATGCTGACCATCAACACAGAGGCCCCTAAGGGGTGTGTGCTTAGTCCCCTCCTGTGCTCCCTGTTCGCCCACGACTGCAAGGCCGCGCATGACTCCAACACCATCATCAAGTTTTCTGACGACACGAGGGTGGTAGGACTGATCAAAGATGAGGCAGCCTATAGGGAGGAGGTCAGAGACCTGGCAGTGTGGTGTCAGGACAACAACCTCTCCCTCAACATCAGCAAGACAGAGGAGCTGATCGTGGACTACAGGAAACTGAGGGGCGAGCACGCCCCCATCCACATCGATGGGGCTATAGTGGACCGGTCAAGAGGTTCAAGTTCCTCGGTGTCCACATCACTAAGGAATTAACATGGTCCACACACACCCACACAGTTGTGATGAGGGCACGACAGCACCTCTCCCCCTCAGTAGGCTGAAAAGATTTGGCATGGGCCCTCAGATCCTCAAGTTCTACAGCTGCACCATTGAGAGCATCTTGACTGGCTGCATTACCGCCTGGTATGGCAACTGCAAGCACCCGACCGTCAGGCGCACGGGGTGGTAGTACGGCCCAGTACATCAATGGGCCGAAGCTCCCTGCCATCCGGACCTTAATATACGCAGGCGGTTGTCAGTGGAAGGCCTCAAAAGAGTTTCAGACTCCTGTCCCCCCCCCACCCCCCCCACCACAAGCAATAGCCTTATCTCTGCTACAGCCACTGCACGTGTACAATGCACCAATTCTGAAACCACCGCTGAACAAGACTGCTAAATAGCTAATCAAATGGCTACCCGGACTACCTGCATTGACCGTTTATTTAAATGTTACTAACGCTCTTGTACTGACTCTAAGCACACATACTGGACTCAACCAACAACACGTACATACTTACACTGACACCCCAACACACGCGGACATTAAGTATTCATACCCCTTGACTTATTCCACATTTTGTTGTGCCTAAATTCTAAATGGATTAAATAGATACTTTTTTTACCCATCTACACACAATACCCCATAATTAGAAAGTGAAAACATGTTTTTAGAAATGTTTGCAAATTTATTGAACGTGAAATACAGATATCTAATTTACTTAAGTATTCACACTTTGTAGAAGCACTTTTGGCAGCGATTACAGCTGTGAGGCTTTCTGGGTAAGTCTCTAAGAGCTTTTTACACCTGGATTGTGCAACATTTGCCCATTTTTTATTATTTTACAAATAAGCTTTGTAGTTGAGGACTTGGTAGACTGTATATTCTGTAGGGTTAGGTTTTACTTAGCACTATGTGTTCTCTCCCAGGTGCTGGTAAGGGCACAGACGACAGACCGGTATGATTCCAGTTGAAGTTGTTTAATGACGCTGATTCACAGAGCAGTGATGGCACAGCACAACAGTACAGTGTATGGCTTGACAATTGTGTTAACCAAGAGTTTGTGTGTGGTTCTGAAAAAGGGGAAATTAAATACAATAGTAAACGGCAGGTATAGGCTTAATACAACCTCCAATTACATAAGCTATAAATAATATGGCTACAATCGGTTATCTGCTGCACAGGGCAATACAACATGGCTGTGACTTCACTAATGAATGATCAGAGGAGTGCAACTAAACAGAACTACTGAGCAGCACCATCATCCTCACACAACTGCATGAACTTTGCTAACAAAATACCCACATCATTTCTACAGAATACATCCAAATAACCACAGGGCATATAAGACTAGCCACTGAAATGCTAAATGTCTGAAATGAGATTACAAACTCGCGGCAAAACACTAATTAGCATAACAAAGGAGTGCGTCCACAACACATGAATTGTAATAAAATATGAACTCACATTTCTGAAGGATGCACACTAGCCTTGACTAAAACAAAGAATGCTAACTAGAGGTAATCACAGGAGATGGCTGGAATTTATCACGGCTTGTGTACTTTCTCTAGTTATTTCCTTCTCCTCAGTTAGAGATCGCCCAGCATGCTGTGCTCCACATCACCGCTGGGCGGAGCTACAGCGCTCCTATGATGAACTGATATTTACTCTCAATAGTCTTTCGTACAAGCTCTTTCAAATTGGTTAATGATAATTGCTAGACAACCATTTTCAGATCATGGCATAGAGTTTTAGTTTTTAAAAATTTATTTTACCTTTATTTAACTAGGCAAGTCAGTTAAGAACAAATTCTTATTTACAATGACGGCCTACACCGGCCAAACCTGGACGACGCTGGGCCAATTGTGCGCTGCCCTATGGGACTCCCAATCACGGCCGGTTGTGATACAGCCTGGAATCGAACCAGGGGGTCTGTAGTGACGCCTCAAGCACTGATATGCAGTGCCTAAGACCACTGCACCACTCGGGAGCCCAATTGTCCTGCTGAAAGGTGAATTTCTCCCAGTGTCTGGTGGAAAGCAGACTGAACCAGATTTTGCCAGTGTTTAGCTGGTCCGCCCAGGCCACAGGCTTGGTCGAGGATAGCAGTGGTCGATACGCAAATCGGGTTCTCGGTAGGTCCAGGTCCAACAGCCAACAGGTTAGTCCAAACAATCCAGGTCATACACGGTAAATCCAGCCGATTTATATATTGTCACTTTTCTCTTTTCTTGTGGTTCACAGATCCACAGCCACCTCCTCTCTCTCTCCCTTCCTGGTTTGTCTTGACCCCTTATATGTGGGTCGGCCCCACGTTGCGAGTGTTCCCCTTGCTTCTAGGGATTGTAGTTTTTGGCGTTCTGCCATTTTGTGATCTGTAGTTCTTGTCGGGGTGGCCATTTCAGTGAGAGGGCAGAGCCCGTTTATTAGTTCTACCCTCACATATCTGCCATTTAACACTCTGCCCCCTTCTTTGCCACACATCTCCCCCCCCCCTAGCTTCGACCCCCTAGGTTGGGCTACCGCAGCAAAATAGGCGTGCATGCGGGATAACCCATCCACATTTCCCATTTCCTTCCCTGCTCTGTGTTTTGAGTCAAAGTGAAACGGTTGGAGACTCAAAAACCACCGCATCACCCGAGTGTTCTTCTCTTTAGCCCTATGCATCCAGGTGAGTGGGGCATGGTCACTGATGAGGGTGAAGTGGCACCCTAGCAGGTAATATTTCAGGCTTTCAAGAGCCCACTTTTACTGCCAGTGCTTCTTTCTCAACGACTGAGTAGTTGGCCTCCCGTGGTTCCAGCTTCCTGCTTAAAAACAGGATGGGGTGTACCACCCCTTCTAGCTCTTGGGAGAGCACGGCTCCCAACCCGAACCTCTGAGGCATCCGTCTGAACCACGAACTTGCGCTCAAAGTCTGGTACCACCAGCACTGGATTAGAGCAGAGAGCCTCCTGTAATGTTCTAAATGCTTTGGGGGCCTTTTCATCCCATGTTTGGCCCTCTGGCTCCAGTCATGTCGGTGAGTGGGGCGGCCACTGTGGCATAATTTGGGATTAATTTCCGGTAGTAACCTGTCAACCCTAGGAAGGCTGGTTTACTGGTTTTGGCCATCCTCTAATTGCCTCAACCTTCTTCAGTTGGGGTTTGATTAACCCTCTTCCCACGGTGTATCCCAGATACTCGGTTTCCTCTAACCCCACATTTCCTCGAACACTTGGCAGGGTTCTCCGTGAGCCCTGCGTTCCTAAAGGCGTTTAGCACTGCCTGTACCCGGGGTAAGTGGGATTCCCAATCTGGGCTGTAGATCCCCCACATCATCTAAATAGGCTACGGCATAAGCTCTGTGCGGTTTTAGGACCTGGTCCATTAGCCGTTGAAAGGTGGCTGGGGCCCCATGTAAGCCGAATGGCATGACGGTGTACTGAAACAAACCGTCAGGGGTTACGAAGGCTGTCTTTTCTTTGGCTTTGGGAATTTGCCAGTAACCTTTTGGCTAGGTCCATGATCGTAATCTACCGAGCTTTACCAATTTCCTCCAATAGTTCATCTCCTCAGGGCATGGGGTAGGCATCAAACTTGGAGGTTTCATTTACCTTAGAA